TCCTACATCAGATCAGCTCTGTCCCCTGTCTCTCCATCTTCTGCTCACCCAGAGTCCCTGCACTGAGGGAACTCCGTGCCTGCCTTGCTGTGTGGGAGAGGTCCTTGGCCCTGTTGCTGTAAGGATTGAGCCGGGGCACCTGGGGCTGAAGAATCATTCAGTTGTGTGCCTGGAACCAGCCTGCTCCCTTGTCCTTCGCCAACATAGGTTCCTAGAGAGAAGCACCCCCTCCCCAGGGCCCTGGGCAGGTGGGGGTCCCCTTTACTGGGCCTCTAACTCCCTAAGTCACAGCTGTGCCTGCCTCTTTCACGGAAGGAGAAATTTCCTACCCTTTACTGCCAGCCTGATTACCCCCTAACCACTCCCTTGCCAGCCTGATGGATTCCTAACTACTCCCCTGTTGGCCCCAACTGCCCCCAACTGCCCTCCCTTACTGGCCTGATCGCCCCCAACTGCCTTCCCCTGCAGAAGAGGCTTGTTTGGTTCTGAGAATCCAGACCTCAACCGTCTCACCGTGAACTGCTTCACAGTACACATCCCCGTACATATTTCTCAGCCTGCTCCACACCTTTCCCGCTAAATGCCTATTGGGCATACCCTGTCACTCCCTTCCCACACCCACAGGTCCACATATGGCCACTTCCCTGACAACGACACTGGAAAATAGAACACCCCTCCCCCAGGTACACACATACCATCAGCATCATACATTATTATTACATTCACACTTTCACACACAGGCCAGCCCCCCACCATCATGTATGGGCCATTACAGAGGAATAGCCGTAGACACACGCAATCATCCTGTTATAGAAAACACATCCCCTCGCGTTCTCACTGGCACACACATCCTTTACACAGGCAAATCCAGTTGTAAAACAGACCCAGACTGACACCCCCCCTGCCCCCCAGCCATCTTACCAATAGACATGCCTCTTGTTTGCAGTTGTGTCCCAACAGCCTAACACAGTTACATAATGGACACTCGGTTACATGTTTGGGTAAATTTTTAAAGTTATCCCTTAAAGACAAACACACCACACTCACTGTCATACACATCCAGCTTCCCCTCATGGACACACAGTCCCCCCACACACACACACACATACACAAACAAAGTAATTAAGTTACCACACAGCCCCCTAAGCTAAAGGACAACCCCTGGCCCAGGGGTCTCCCCCAGAGGGGGAAGGAAGCAATGTGGGGTCCAAAGGGGCTTCCCCTGTTACTGAGCCCTCCCTTTTCTCCCCCACCCCCCACTCTCCAGCCTCAGCCTCAGCTGCTCCTCTTTTAATTGGAAGCACTTCTTTATTCTGCAGGCGGGTGTGCAGGGGGCTGGGAGGGTTGGTGCTGGAAGGGGGTGGGGGATGTTACCAGGTGGCCTCAGGGCTGGAACTCACCTAGGGGTGTGCAAAGATACTCCTGCAAGGCAAGGACCACAGCTGTAATGAATGGAGTCAGAAAAACAGCATTTGAGTCCAAGTCTGTCCCTGTTCAGTGTCCAGTGCCTTGGTTTTTTCATCTGTAAAACAGAGACAACAAAAGCCGCATCACAGGACATTTGGGGGATGGGCTGAGAAGGTACCTGGGACACCACCGGTTCTTTGTGAGTCCTGCCTCCTTTCCCTCCCTCCTCTTTCCTAACAGGACTCCTCTGCAAGGCACGGAACACAAGCTGCATGGAAGATAAGCTCTGAGTCTCCTCCTCCTTTTCAGAAAACTTTCTAACCTGCAGCGCTGTGCTCAAGAAGCACTGCTTCGGGGAGTGCCAGGGGCCAAACCCAACCAATCCTAGCACCCTTGTCTCATCTTCCTACCAGAGAAGGGACACATTGGATCACCCTGCCCTCAGCCTATCCCATCGGAAGACAAAGGCCAAGGTCAAACTGGACTCAGAGAACCCCAGCAGAGGGGAGGTCAGCAGCTCAGAACTGGGTTGGGTTAAAAGTTGCCTCTGATAAGCAGGAGAGGTGGGCGGGACATTCAGAAGAAATCAGGTAGCAGTGAGGCAGGGAAAGGCAGGAAGTCTCTGGGTGTTGAATTTGGTGAGAAGAGCACCCTGACAGTCTTAGTGGACCCCGAGGCGGAGTGACTTCTGCCAGTCTTAGACTAGGCCAGCAAGGGTGAGGTCTCTCCCAGCCACCCTGGACAACTGGTGACAGAAGGGAGGTGGTGTTCAAGAGGTAAGTGAGGCAGATGCCCAAAGGTTGGATCAGGCAGGATTGGAAAGTCATGGGGCTGGAAAGGTGCATCAGGAGGGGAGAGGGAGGATGGGGAGAGCGTTTAGGAACACTCAAAGGGTTTCTAGCATGGGCCAGAAGGTAGCAAAGAGAAGTTGTGTTGAGGTAACCTAGAAAGATACGATTTTAATTGCATTAGGCAGAACTGTGGTTAGACACCATTGTGGCATCTTGACTAAAGGGAGAAAGAGCGAGGCAATGGGACCCAACCTCAAAGGATGTGGAAGGGTCTCTCCCCATAGCTTTCACTCTGCAGGAAAAGGAGTTCCGAGTTTAGGATCCCAGCTCAGTCCTCTTCTGTCTGTGTGGCTTTGGGCAACTTCATTCATCTCTCTGAGTCTGTTTTTGTTTTCTTAAAATTAGATATAATTCATGTAACATAATTCCAACCCTTTAAATGGTACAACTCAGTTCCTTTAGTATATTCACAAAATTGTGCAACCATAACCATCTAACTCCCGAATATTTTCAACTCCCAACCTCCCTCCCCCTCCAGCTCCTGGAAACCACTAATTTATTTTCTGTCTCTATAGATTTGCCTATTCTGGATGGCTCATATAAATACACGTATATAATATGTGGCCTTTTGTGCCTGGCTTCCTTCACTTAGTACAGTGTTTTCTAGGTCCTTCCATGTTGTAGCATGAGCCAGGATGTCCTTTCCATTCCTTTTTATGGCTGAGTAAAAAGTCAATTGTACAGAGATGCCTCGTTTTATTTACCCATTCATCAACATTGCTTTATGAATAATACTATTCATTATGAAAAAATACTCTTATGAAGATTCATTTTTCTTAATAATTTAAAAATGGGGATGTTTCTATGAACTTCACAGGGTTGTGTGCGCCTTAAATGAGACCAGTGTGGTGCGGTGCCTGGCACATAGTAGTTTCTCAGTAAAACACTTGTGTCAATTTCTTCTTCAGATCTTCCAACACAAGAAGCAGAAAAGAGACATATTCAGGTTCAAACAACTTCCAAAGACAGTGATGGAGCCTCCTGGTTGAGGTGTAGTCCTGGAATTAGGGTGGGTGGAGGGGAGAGAACTGTTAAGGAGTAGGACTCTCTCCTCATGTGTCTGTTTAGTGTTGCAAACAACCACATCTGGCTTTATATTGAGTGGACCCCTGTCCACTTGCCTGGAGCCCAGACGAGGTGTTCCTTATGGAGATGCTGCTCCAGGCCGCAGCCAGGCTTTCAGGGTAACCCATGGAGGAAAGTAGAATCAAGCTCCCCCATCTTCTCAAGCCACTTAGCCTCTGTTCCTTTGCCTCTGTAAAATAGAGATGGTACTCATCTCAAAGAGTTAGTGTAGAGTTTATAGTTTTCTCCATAACACTTATTATCCTCTGGCTTATTGTATTTGCTTCTTTTTATTTTATTTATCTATTCATTTTTAAATATATTTTACTGATTTTTTTTTTTTTACAGAGAGGAAGGGAGATATAGTTAGAAACATTGATGAGAGAGTCATCGATCAGCTGCCTCTTGCACGCCCCCTACAGGGGATGTGCCCGCAACCAAGGTACATGCCCTTGAATCCAACCCGGGACCCCTCAGTCCGCAGGCCAATGCTCTATCCACTGAGCAAAACCGGTTTCGGCTGTATTTGCTTCTTTATATCCCCTCTATGGAATGCAAGCTCCATGAGGGCAGAAACTGTTCTGTTTACTGCTCTTTTCTCAATGCCAAGAACCATGCCTGACACATAGTATGTGCTCAAAAAATTTGTTGAATAAGGAGGTTCTTTTATTCATTATTCACTCAAAATGAATATATTTTGTGGGTTGGGGCTATACTCCGGGGGGGGGGGGGAGACAAAGATCAGTAAGCAATTTTTTTTGCCTCCAAGGAGATCTCTTCAAGTGGAAGTAAAAGGCCAAAGCAAATATTATGTTGTGATAAGACTTGATAAGTAGAATGTGTGCTTTCACATTCTAGCACCTTGCCTGGTAGAGACACCCCTCTCTGAAGGCCTGTTGAATCTAGACTAGACCAGAAATAGATCCCACGTTAGCCAACCTATGCCTTTCCCTAATGTTGGCTTCTGGGAGGGATCAAACATTTCCCTGCTGGAGAGGGGAAAGGGGAAGCAGAAAAGGGAGTTTCCTCCTCTCCTGGGCTCTAAGCCAGTCAGCCACAGGCACCACTCTGCAAAGGCCTAAATCTGTTCTGGATGCGCTTCCCTCATCTCGGTTCCACCATCCCCCGGCCCCGCCGCCTAAGACCCTAGATTCCAAAAATAAGAAAAAAAACTCCTCCCCTTTACCACAGTCTGAAGGTTTCTTGCTTGAAATTGCCTCTCCTGGCCGAGTTGCCAGGTGAAACGATCCAGTTGAATTCATCCGCTCGCGGTGGGCGCTGCTCCCTGGGGCATCTGTGTGTTCTAAAGGAAAGGGGTGTCTTGAAGCAGAGGCACCATGGCAACAGGCCTCAAGCTGACTCCCTCGTCTGTGCTTGTCTTTCAGGAAGTCTTCCCTTCCTCAGTTTCCTTAATCAGGCTAAGTTGGGTGGTGGTTGATTTTTTTTCTTTCTTCTTCAACATATAGCCAGTAATTCATAGGCCCGAGTTTCAAAGCAGGCCCAGCCTGAACTCACTCTCCCTGACTCAGGGACCTGGCTCCATACCTGGGGGGAGCAGACAGTCTTCTGTCCAACAAGCTAGACTCGAAGTTCAGTGTAAATACTCTGGTTGGTGGATAGGTGTTTCCCAGGTGAGCGAGCCCCTGGGAAGACTCTCCAGCAGCGAAGGGACACCTCCTCCCCAGAGGCCTGTGGCTGGACCCCTTCTGCCCAACTCAAACTTAGGGGGAGCGGCTCCTGCCTGCCTGGGAAGAGGGCTCTGACCTCCACCTCCTGCGCTCCGTCTGGTCTGTCAGTCCCTGGGAACGGCCACCTCCTGCTCTTTTTCTTTCTCCTTTTAAGTCTCTGTTTCCCCTCTTCCTGAACTACTTCTCTGAGCCACAGGCTCCGTCCTCCTCCGGTCTCTGGCTCCGGCATCTGTCTGGGCTCCCGGCCTCCCTCTCCCGGCCTCCGCCCCTCCCCCGCGCTGTCATTCACCCCGCTCCTCTCCGCTCACAGCCAATGGAGAGACCGGGCCGGAGCGGCTAGGCTCCCTCGCACCGGGCTTTTTCGCCCGGTGATTGATGTCCCAGAGTCAACAGCGAGCGAGCAGCCGGAGAGGGGAAGGAGCCGCCGGAGAGGAGTAGGATACGGCGCCCCCTCTCTCCTCCCCTCCCCCCCACTTTAGCCTCGTGCGGACTTCGCCTCCGAGTCTCGGCGAGGCCAGGAACCGCTCCTGCTCCCGCGCCCCTGCGCGCTGCACCCGGAGCGGAAAGCAGCGAGTCCCGCCGCCCGGGCCCCCCGCCCCCCTCCCCGCGGGGCCGGGGCCGGGGCGGGGGTCGGCATGGAGCACCTGGGGCCGCACCACCTCCACCCGGGCCACGCGGAGCCCATCAGCTTCGGCATCGACCAGATCCTCAACAGCCCGGACCAGGGCGGCTGCCTGGGGCCGAACTCGCGCCTGCAGGACGGGGACTACGGCCTCGGCTGTTTGGTCGGAGGCGCCTACGCTTACGGCGGCGGCGGCGCGGGACCGGTGGCCGGGGCGGCGGCCGCGAACGCGGGGGCCTACGGCGCGGGCGGCCCGAGCGGCCCCGGGGGCCCGGCGGGCGGCGGGGGCGGCGCCTGCAGCATGGGCCCGCTGGCCGGCGGCTCCTACAGCGTGAACATGGCCTTGGCGGGCGGCCCGGCCCCGGGCGGCGGCGGCGGCGGCGGCGGGGCGCTGAGCGCGGCGGGCGTGATCCGGGTGCCCGCGCACAGACCGCTCGCTGGCGCGGTGGCCCACCCGCAGCCTCTGGCCACCGGCTTGCCCACGGTGCCCTCCGTGCCCGCCGTGCCAGGCGTCAACAACCTCACCGGCCTCACCTTCCCCTGGATGGAGAGCAACCGCAGATACACAAAGGACAGGTTCACAGGTGAGTCCGGGGCGCCGCGGCCCGGGCTCTGCGCCCTCCCCGCTAGGGGCTCCCCGCGGCCCCCGTGGCCTGCCCGGGCGGGCGGGCGCTCAGCTCCTCTGGGTGCTTCCGCCGAGTTTAGCCGCTGCCACCTTTCTAGGCTCCAGGAATCGCCACGCTGGAGGAGTTCCTCCCAGCCTGGGCCCGCGGCGTCTCCCCTGAAGTCCCCAGCTTCAGAAGCTCCCCTAGATCCCATCCCAGACCCCCTCCCGGAGTCCCGGGCCCGGCCAGAGGGAGGGAAAGGGAACACATTTCCCCCCGCCCCTAGGGCCCGGATCTCAGAGAAGGGGCGCGATGTGAACAGACTGTTTCTCCCGTCCCGGCCGACGTTCTTTTGGGAGGCGGTGAGCCCCAGAACCAAACGCCAGGAAAGAACAGGTTCCCCACCTCCGAGCGCCGGCCCCCGCCCCCCTCCAAGTTCAGTGCCTGCTGCGCCGCGGGCCAGCGGAGGCCACGAGCCCGAGCGAAGCAGCCCGGCCAGCCCGGCCGGCGGGCCTTTCTTCCCGAGCTACGGGCTCCGTCCGGGTCGGCGCGGCGTGGGGCTGAGCCGCCCGCTTCGATTTCGTTCTGTCCGGGCTCGGCCTCCTCCTCCGCCTCCTCCCCCGCCTCCTCCTCTGCCCGCGGGCGTAAATACCGCACCGGCCGGGCCCGGGGTCGACCGGCCGCCCAAGGACGACTCTCGGGACGATTGCGCCTTCGGCGGCGCCGGCTGCCGTCCTCCCCGCCGCCCGCTCCCCGCCGCCCCCCCGTTAGTCCCGGCTCCCTGCGCTCCCGCTTCCGCTGCCGGCGCTCGGCGCGGGCCCTTACCCCGGCTTCCCTTCCCGCTTCCCTTGGCATCCCCTGGCCCTGAGTCTTAGCTTCCCGCTGAGCCAGGCCCCCACGCCCGCTGGGAAGCAGCGAAGCAGCCACGAGTTGAGCCTGGGTTCCGGACAGGCCTTAGGAGCGGGAGAAGGAGGCACAGGCCAGGGCTCCCGCGGGGTCTGGGCTCCAGCGCCCAACTGTGAAAGGGGTTAGGCAGCTTAGAGCTAGACCCTGGACTAGGAGACCCTGGGGCCCCCAGGCTCCCCGGCTCCTGTTCCAACCTTGGCTCAGGCTCTAGGTCTGTGGCAAAAGTTTTTTTTTTCCTTGGGGGGGGGGGGAGAAAAGGGAATTCCTAGACAGAACAGCCACTCTACTTTGGGGCTCTAGGAAGGGCCCTGTACTCCAGGGGCTCCACTGCCCCAACCCAAGTTCTCTCAGGCCTGGAGGAGAGGGAAGGACTCTGAGGGAAGCCCTGGCCGGGAACCCACTAAGCCTGGGTCCGGTGGAAGGAACTTCACATAGGCCTACCTACGGGAGCCACTGCGCATCTACTCTCCACTCAGGCCTGAGAAGGTTCTGAGGGAGTGTATGACTCGCCTTGTGTTACCTAGTGCTGCCTGTGTCCTGTGTGTGTCTGCCTGAGTGCCTGTGCCTGTTTGCTGTCTTGTTTAGATGTATAGATCTACAATTTGCCACTATAATTTGTGTGTGATGTGTCTGTGTACATCGCTGTGTGTCGGAGGCTTAGGTCAGGACCAGGCAGGGTCCAGCCCCTCACTATTGGGCAGCTTCTCCGAGGCTGGAGGCCTGGGGCAGTGGAAGCTGAGGGGGCCTCTGGAGGGCTGCCATCCTTTGCTCGCCTCAGGGAGACTGGGGAGGTGGTTGTGGTTCAGTGTCTGGTTGGGCACGTGGAAGCCCGGGACTAGGGAGGCCTCCGCGGCAGCAGCAGAGGCTGGCTGCAGCTTGGCGGCGGGAATGGGCCCTTTCCCGCCCTGGCTTGGAGCTTGAGGGCTGGAAGGGGAGGATCGAGGCCCTGATCGGCCCTGATCGCGGGGTCTACCAGCTGTGCTTGCTGAGTCGCGGGGTGTTGGGCCTGGGACGCCTCCTGACGCTCTGCCGCTTGCCTCTGCCGTCTGTCTGTCTGTCTCCCGCTCCAGTGGCCCTCTCACCCTTCACTGTAACACGCCGTATAGGTCACCCCTATCAGAACCGGACGCCCCCCAAGAAGAAGAAGCCGCGCACGTCCTTCACGCGCCTGCAGATCTGCGAGCTGGAGAAGCGCTTCCACCGCCAGAAGTACCTGGCCTCCGCCGAGCGCGCCGCGCTGGCCAAGGCGCTCAAGATGACGGACGCCCAGGTCAAAACCTGGTTCCAGAACCGCCGCACCAAGTGGAGGTGAGCGCGGCGGGCGGCGGGCGCGGCTGCTCCGGCTCCGACTCCGGGCCTCCCGGGGCGCGCACGCTTCCTCCGCGGCCCGTTTCCGGCGCGTTTGGAGGAGCTGGCAGCTCCGGGGAGTGGGAGGCAGGCGCTGCCGGCTGACCGAGATGAGGAGGCTGGAGAGCCCAGGCTATTGATCAGAGGCTTCCTAGCCTTGTGGTCGGCAAACCCAAAGCCTTTGTAAACGGGGCTGATCTGGGCCGCTGCTGGAGGAAACAGCAGGTTAGAGCAGTCTACGTTGTCCGGGTCTTCTGATCAGTGAGTCCTATGGGGCTTGCTGTTTGCGCAAACTTGCACTTTCAGGGATACCCAGTTCCTGCGCGCCAGCCGGGCTCCCTGCAGAGCGCCGGGGCCCCAGCCCTCCGCCCGGGCTCTGCTGACTCCCTCCTCCCGCCACCCCCATCCTCCCCGCCAGGGGCTCCCCACGCTGGCAGGGGAAAATCAATCCGCGCCGGCTGTAGCGGGATTTTCGATGGTCCCACAGAACCCGGGATCAATGAGGAGCAGATGGGTGTGTGTGTGTGTGTGTGTGTGTGTGTGTGTGTGTGTGTGTGTGTGTGTGAGAGAGAGAGAGAGGGAGAGAGAGAGAAAGAGAGAAAGAGAGAGATATTACCCGTCTCACATCACACATCCACTATACTAATTTCCCCCCTTTATACATACACCTTGACCTCTGTCCCTCTCTGTCTCTCTCTCTTCCTCCGTCCTTCCCCCTCTTTCTTGTGTCCCGCTGACTTCGGGGCAGCCTTATTCTCCGCTCACCCAGCGCTCTCTCCCCCGGTCCCTCCTGCACCCCTGCACCCTCCGCCCGCACACCCAGCCCGCACTCTCGGTTCCCCGAGGCCTGGCCTTTCCCGCCAGCTCAGGCCTCAGGGGGAGCCAGGAGTCTGGGGCAGGCGGCGGCGCCGGGCCGGGCGGGCCTGAGGAAGGAATTGGAGTTTCCTCTTTTGCTGAATGAAGGCGAGGAATCTGCCCGGGATTCCGCCCGCGGTGGCCACAAAGGAAGCCACTGCCCCGCGAGTCTGCTGCCCTCCCCTCCTCTCCCCTCCCCACATTCCTGCCGCTGGGGCAGGGGGGACCTCTGGAAAGCTAGTTGAAGAGGGGGCGAGGCCGGCTGGGTGGGGGTACACCCGCCTTCTCAGGGCTGTAGCCGAGGGGAGGGAGGGAGCCAGGCAAGGCCCTTCCCAGGTGGGGGAGAGAGAAACTAAAATGCAAAAAAAAAAGGGGGGGCAAGCTAGATACCCCACCCGGGCAGAAAAGGAAACCAGGCAGCCGAAGGAAGTCTTAGGTACAAACAGCAAAGCAATGGATGAGAAAAACCTCCATTTTCGTTGCAAACAAATTCCCTTCATCTTGAGAAAGCCAACGGGGCAGGGGCGGGGGTGAAAGAAAACAAGAAATCCAGACAAAAGCCCGGAGGAAGAGAAACAGCCCGGCAGTTTGAAAGCGCAGGAGAGAAGGGTAAGAGAAGAGCCTGAGACTCAGTGAAAAGCAAGAAGGGGAGCGGGTGGGAGGCCGCCGCCGCGGGGAGAGGCCTGGCTGGCCTCGGCGGCTTCATCGATCGCCTACAAATTGCTTCTGGAGGCCCCGGGGACCCCCATTAGGTCCGTCCACCTTAGAGACAGACGTTTGATCTCAGTTGACGGGGCGGAGGGGAGGCATTAAATGGAGTGAGTCATCGCCTCCCTGGACGCCTCGGAGGAAGCGGCTGGCCCGGCGGCAGACACGGCCGGGGCGCAGGGCTCGGCGCAGGAGGTCCGAGGCCCGGAGGCGTCCGCAGAGAAAGGGGGGAAGAGAGGCTGGGCAGGATAGCTCGCACCCACAGCCCTTGCCTTCGTCCTGGGCTGGTGGGGAAGGTGCGGCCCCTCAGGATCAGGCCTGGAGTGTCTGGCCTTCCTGGGGTGTGTGGGGAGGGACGGAGGGTGGAGGCAAGATGCCATTTTATTCGTGGCTGAGCCCTTCCAGGCGGCTGTGGGCGCTGCGCGGGGACAGGGAGCCCCAGCTCCTTGCCTAGCGGACTTTCCCGCAGCTTCCCGGATGTAGCTCGGCTCCATCTATTTTTGGGGTTACCAGTCTTTGTCGGATCTTGGAGATCAGGGGATGCGTTGGAGGGGCCCACGCTGAGCCCGGTGCTGCCAAGGCAGCAGTGCCCAGGCGGGCACGCGGGCTCTCCCAGGATCGCGCGGCAGCGTGGGTAACGGCTTGTCCCCCGCAGGCGGCAGACGGCGGAGGAGCGCGAGGCCGAGAGGCAGCAGGCGAACCGCATCCTCCTGCAGCTGCAGCAGGAGGCCTTCCAGAAGAGCCTGGCGCAGCCGCTGCCCGCCGACCCGCTCTGCGTGCACAACTCCTCGCTCTTCGCTCTGCAGAACCTGCAGCCCTGGTCGGACGACTCCACCAAGATCACCAGCGTCACGTCTGTGGCTTCGGCCTGCGAGTGAGCCTTCCCAGCCCCCATCCCTGGGGCCCCGGCCCAGCCAAGGGGGTCAGCGCGGAGGCCTGAGAGCCAGGACTCTCTCCTGCCCTACCGGCCTCAGCCTGCCCATGGAGGGCCTCAGCCTGCCCACGGAGGGCCTCAGCCTGCCCACGGAGGGCCTCAGCCTGCCCACGGAGGGGACCACGCCCCTCCACAGGGGCCGCGCTTTCTTCCAGGGAAAGAAGAGAGTGCAGAGGACAGGGACCTTGGGCCCACTCCCGGACTCCCACGCAGTCCTGTGCCCCCTAAGACTGTTCAGAATCGCCTCCGTTTGCATCTATTTTATTTTCATCTGATTTTTAACGTGGAACTGAAACAGAAGAAGAGTTTCCGGAGTCCCCAGAGGACAGACAGCATGGGCTGTCATTGGAACCTTCTCTCTGTATCCCACTCCTCATCACATACCATCACGTACGCACACCCACGGGCCCTCACAGAGATGGTTCCACCATCCCTCTTGGTGTCACCCCAGATCACACACAGGGGGCCTATGGCAGAATGTGTGTCACGCACACACACAGGGCCACGGCCTTCTTACTTTAGACTCTCACTATCTGTCCCAGGCCAGGAGTGACCTAGACTCACTCTGAACAGCGAGGCTGTGACCACACCGCGGTACACTATTCCATACGCAGGCGCGGTCACAGTGTCACTCACCTCCATCGCACACCCGAGCCCCACCCCGGTACGCACAGGCAGGTTTCCACACAGATCCTGTTCATGGGAGGGGGGTTAAGTTATGCACTTATAAGGTGTTTTCTGTGTAACCATTTTATAAAGTGCTTGTGTAATTTATGTGAAAAAAAGAATAAAACCCTCCGGATCCGGAGTTAGGGCTGCCTGCTCCTTGCTGAGCCCACATCCTGCAGCTACTTGGGATGGGTGTTATGGGGCAACTCTGGAGCCTGAGCTGGAGGGACATCTGGGGGCCAGCACCTGCAGGCTCCGGAGAGAGGAAGGAAGAAGGGGGACAAACAGAGAGAAGGCAAAGCTGAGGTGAGGACGGAGAGAAAGGCTCTCCTGGGACAGCCAGTGCTAGGGAGGATATAGTGTCTTGGAGTGCGAGAGCTGTGTGCGTGTGCATTCTGAACGGTGTGGGCAATCAGAGTATTACTGATTTGTAATAGTGTGCAATTGTGTTTGCAATTATTTTGATTTTTTGAGTTTGCAATTATTGTGTGTGCTTCTTTCTGCTTAAGTTGCAAATCGAAACTATCATATACTCAAACGTGTGTGTGCATGCGTGTGTGTGTGTGTGTGTGTGTGTGTAACTATGTTTAAATGGAGCTGAGCTTTGAGAGATAATTGTATGATTACCCACCGGTATTTGTGATTGTGTATGAATCATGTGTGAATGTTTGTGAGCATACATATTAGTTTCTCCCTATGAATCTGTTTCTGTGTTAAATGTGTGAATGTTTGAGATTGTGTATCACCTGTAATTGTGTAGATGTAATTGTGTGTGAGATGTAAACATGTGTGAGATGCATATTTTACTGTATATATCGTGTGTAACAGTATGTATATATTTGGGGAAATGAATCAGTGGGGATATGGATCATTGTGGGTGACTGTCCTTGCCAGTGACTCGGAGTGGGTATAATTGTTCTCTAGTGGTGGACAAGATGAGGGGGGTCTAAGGTAGGGTGTGAGATACATTGTGGGGGTACCAACATCTGCTAGGAGTTCTGGAGTTCTAGGCCCTTACCCAGCAAGCTGCAGAAGCTAGGGTACACTGAGTCAGGCTCCTCGGTGGTGCCCTGGCCAGGACCTCACAGCTCCCAGCACTGGGTGGGATCTGAATAGGTGACTTCTCAGGGACCTTCTGAGAGGCCCCAAATCACTCCAGTCAGGACAGCAGCCACAGTGCACAATATTTTTCATAACATCTAGTCCCTCACCCACCCCCCCACACACCCTAGACCAACCTCAGGTGCATAAAATTGCCTTGGGCCTGCTTTTGTGGGAGAAGCCAGGGGGTGGAGGGTCTGAGAACATACCGTTCTGGGGGCGTAGAGAGGGGAGATAGGAGGCTTTTTTGGGGTGTGGAAGAGGGAGAGAACTTTGTGGCTAGAAACTAGAAGTGAGCTAGTGCTGCCAGGACGACTGCCGGTGCCTGAGCTTGAGGGCCATCTGGGGGCCAGGACCTGCAGGCTCTGGAGGGAGGAAAGGGACGTGTGTGTGCAGAGCTGGGGTCGAGGGAGCCATGGAAACCATCAGAGAGCCCTGTCCTTCATCCCTGGACATGTCTTAAGAAATGGGGACAAAGAACAGCAGCCTCTCCGCTCAGAAGGCCAAGGGGGAGCTGGCTGTGGGGGGAAGAGACCGTGCTTCTTCGTCCCTCCGCGGTGGCCCCCTCGGAGCCGGCTCTGTAAGACAGAGCTCTGTGTCCAAAAATCAATCGTAGGCCAGCCTCTGGCCCCACCCCATAGGCCACGGGGGACCCAGGCCGGGCCCTGCCAGGGACCCAGGCCAGGCCCTGCCAGACTGTTGTTAACGGTGACATCTGTGGTGGGTCTCTGGCCTGCAGTGGCTTGGCTGCGGCGCCCAGTACCCCGGCTGAGCGAAATCCGGAAACGGCCTCCTGGAGCCGGTAGAATTCGCCTCCTTCTGCCTGGCGGGTCCGGCTGCCTCCTCCCCTCTCCGGTCCTGGAGCGTCTCAGCCACACGTTTCGTTCTGTGAGGTCTCCTCCGTTTCTGGCCTTTGTGACATACCTTCGTGCTTCCTGGCGGCAGAGTCGTGGGGCATGAAGGAGACTGGGGCCTCCTACCAGCTCCCAGTCCCTGGACCCCCCCCCCCCCCCCACTGCCCGCCCCTCCGAGAAGCTGCTGAAAGGCCCCGGGGCTCCTGGATATTTTCTGGCCTCAGACCATCAACCTGAGGAGCTGAGGCAGGAAGGAGGGGCGGCTGCTGGGCCCAAACACAACCCAGGGGCCGGCTCCTCACCGCCACCTCGCCCCCACCTCGCCCCCTGTCTTGCAAGACAAATGCAGGCAGCATTAGGCATAAGGCACCTCCTCCCCCAAATACCTCCCACCTCCTCATTCTCACACATAGCTAGGGTTCGAGCACTGGGGGGGGAGTGGGGGTGGGTGCGTGAATGCTCAGCCCGGTGGCTCTCAGCTGGCCGGCTTCTGTTCAGTTTTCAGGGAGTGGGCACCCCGCATGCCAGATCCCAGTGCCGCTGCCCCCCACCCATGCCTATTGCGGGCACAGGCAGCTTCCCGGCCGCCCAGACCAGCCAGCCAGCCAGCCGGACCTCCCGCCCCGCTCCCCGCCCTCGCTGGTGGCCGGGGTCTCCCTTCCCAGAGGTACCAGGTCCCCAGGGCGCGGGGGCTCCTGGCCTGAGGCACCACGCCAGACTTCCCACTCTCCGCCAGGAATTCGTTGCGTCCGAATCTTGGCAAATCCCGCGTCCGCCGCAGCTGGCCGCGCAGCCCGGAAAGGCCAGGCTGCCACCGGTCCAGGGCAGAGGCAAGGGGGAGGGGTTTCGGGGGGTCGCGGTCAGGGCCAACGCCCCGCAGCAGAGAGTCCATCCCTCCCGCCCGCCACGCGCCTGCCAGAGCGGTCGGTCTCTGTTCAAAAACAGAAAAGGAATCATCCGAATAATTGTGCGCAGAGGTGCCGGGAGAGAAGGGAAATGAACGAGCTGCCTGGGCGGAGGAGAGGCCTGCCTCCTTCCTTGGCTGGAGTGAGCCGGTTGCACTGACCAAATTCCCAGAGTGAGCCCTGGGCAGCCCGAGGGCAGGTTCAGGGGAGGCCCAGAGACCCGTGCAGGGCCGGGGTCCTGGACGCAGGGCTGTGCCTCCCGCGGCCCACAGAGAATCTGGCTCAACCTGTTACCCATAATAGCGGCTTTGTGCGGCGGTCTGAGCTGGGGGGCTGAGGGCATGGCCTGAGCACCCCCCCCGGGGGGGGGTTGGGAGGGGGGCAGGTACGGTGTTACCCTGTGCCCAGGACTCAGAAGGGCCTCGCTGGTGGTGTGAGTGACTTGCAGGTGGGTGAAACAGGTCCCAGGTGTGTGAGCCAAGAAAGCAGGGCCCTCCCTCCCGGCTGGCTGTGCAGAGCTGGGGCAGCTGGGAATGGGCAGCCATGCTGGGGAGGGGAGAAGTGGAGGCCCCAGGGCCCCTCAGGCCAGATGGGGAAGGAACGCCCTCCTTCCTGCTCCCCTCACCTCACACGCTTCTCTCTCCCCCGAAGTTCTGCTCCCAGGCAGCAACTCCCCGTCCTGGCACTCCCTAACCAGCTCAGAGTCTGGAGCCCACGGCCAGGCATTTGCCTGGGCAGCTAACCAGACTGCCTGGGCTTTTCCAGGATGGCACGGATCTGCTGCCCACACAGGACCAGGGAGCCTCTGCACACTCATCTGCACCCACACCTGCACCCACGCCGGGTTCCTCACCCCAGGGAGTCCGGGAGGAATAGACTGAGCAAAGGAGAGGGGGGCTGGAGCCCGCGTGGGTTCCAAGGAGCAGGCCGGGAAGATGGGGGGGGGGTGTTCGTGGATGGGGAGGAAGAGAGGAGTGGAGGGAGGGATGTTATTGTGAGGGGTGGGTCCAAACTCACCCCCTCTCACCCAGCCTGCATTGTGTACAACCCCACACGCCTCTTCTGCTCGGGGTGTGCCTGTGACTCACGGGGAGCTACAGGTGTGCGGTGTAGGTACACACATGCACACATGCAATCTCCACTGCGGGTGTTTCTTTTCTTTTTTAAAAAAAAAATATATTTTATTGATTTAACACAGAGAGGAAGGAAGAGAGAGCGAGCCAGAAACGTCGATGAGAGAGAAACATCGACCAGCTGCCTCCTGTACACCCCCCACCATGCCCTTGACCGGAATCGAACCTGGGACCCCTCAGTCCGCAGACCGACCCTCTATCCACTTAGCGAAACCGGATTCGGCTCAATGCGGGTGTTTTCAATGCCTCTCACAGGCTTACCCCCCCTTAGGCTCCTCTCCCCCAGCTCCCACCCCTCCACGGGCACCCCTCCTCCGCTTTTTCCTCCTCCTCCTTATCCCTGAGGGAGGAGGGTCTAACTCCGCTGCCAGGGGG